AGAGCGAGGGATGATGCGGGTAGGCTGCGGAGTGGCCCGGGTGGTGGGGGTTCATACCAGCGGTTAGAGCGCTCGCCAGCTTGACCGATGAGAGGGTGGGCCCGACGAGCCCACCAACAGCTTCCCACGACGAAAAACAAAAGCTCGTGGCCTATCTAACTGGAAGCTTATTGGGGAGCGGCACTGCCAGAACCGGCTCTCTTCTTCCGGTTCTCTGCTGATACCTGAAACGAGAAATAGCAAGGTATATACAAGGGTTGGCTTTGAGGGTTGTTCGCCGGAATGTTTGGATTTATGATGTCCAATGGCCTAGTGGGCGGTGATGGAGAAGGATTATGGTTACAAGTGGAGGTTCGAGATTGGAAACGGTTATTGTACTGTTAGGTAGGTAAGTAGGGAGGGAAGAAGAGAGAGAGAGAAAGAGATTGTTTAATGATATTATACACCACTGTTTTTCGAAAAATAAGTCTGGAAAAGCGGTTATTATGAAGAATCTATTTTAATCCTCTTTAATCTAATTTTTCTTTTGGAAAATTTATTTTTGACAGGATTTTAATTACATCTTTATTATTCGTTGTTTTGGAATTGCATTTGGAAATGCAAAGTTATAAATTTTGATTCAGAAAGGAATGGTACAATAATTAGATATTGTATTAAATTTCAGCAGAAAGTTAATTTCGAAATTACGTATAAAATAATCTTGGGTTTATATCTTCAACTTAATGTACATGTACATATAATTAGGTTACGTAAAGGGATTTGAACGCCATCCACAGTACCTAAGTAATAAAAGTCTATTGCTTGTTTTCTTGACCAGCAACCACGTGTTTCTGATTGCAATCTACTTTAATTTATGACGATTTATAACATCATAAAAATACCGCTATAAAATTAAATTGGAAAATGTTATATAACAATGCAAAAATCGGCAGGAATCCTGAAAAAAAAAAGATTCAGAATCGTAATTCTAACGAAATCTACTTAAATAACTGTTGCAAAGTTTTATAACAAGTAATTTTTTATCGTCCATTTACGACAGAACATTCTACATTTTCCACAATTTGATAAAATTCAAAGATACCATTATTACAACAATGATGACGAGTGTTCTAAATGTATCAGATCTACCAATCTTCGTAAAAATTTCTTAAAATTCTCCATAATATAATAATCCATCCAAGATATACTCTTTGCTTAAACTTTAATTAATCCCAAAATCAACAGTATCGATCAACAAATTCGATCGATGCAAAGTTCGAAACTTCTTTCATCACGAGTCGATTCGTGGGAAAAAAA